TGGTAGCACTCCAGCCTCTGACTCAGAAGATTGTGTACTCAAACTCCTCGTTGGGATTTGGAACTCACGTAGTCGAGGCTGATCGCCCCAGCACTGCTGGGGGCGATATTGTTTTGCCAGAGGTGCGTCCCTCGGATTAGATGTTAAAAAGAAGTCCGGTCTGCTTGTTTGGATGCACGTTAAAGATTCCATGGCACCGCTCAAAAAAGAGAAGGGACTTTCTTCCGGTGTCTTGGCCAACAATCTCCCGAATAAACTTGGGCATCGACTTTATGGCTGTTTTGTGGGACATTGCTGTTTGCAAATCGGCTGCCGTGTTCACCCACAAGTACAGTCTCTCCACTTTAGAGTAAATACTGTGAAACAACTGAGATGTCCTACTGACGCTATTTGAAATGTAAAGATCCTGACGTGGGGCTTGAACCCGCTACCGTCTGACTCAGAGGCAAGTTTGCTACCAACCGAGTCAGGCTGGCCATCAAGAATGACCCACGATTCACAGAGCAGACAGGTTCGATGCTATTTGGAGATCGACACACTTGAAGGCTCCTTTTGTATGAGGTGCGTGTGATGTGCTTAACAAAGGGTTGCCTTCGGGAAGTTTACAAGCATCAAATTGAGATAAAACAAGGCATACTAATAACCAGCAAACGCTGTGTTATTCACAGTTGGTTTGATTTACTGCCAAACATGAATATTTAAGCGTGTTTTTTTTCCCCCTTTTGTTAGACAATGCGGAGGTAGGGATGGGCTAGAGAGGTGTGACAATCTGCAAAGTTTACTCACGTGTTTCTGGTGTTAATTACCGAAGCGGCTCAGTGGGTAACGCAGGCTCTGGGCAGAGCCTGAGGATTCGCAATTAAGTGAAAACATGAAAGAAATGACAGATTTTGTAAATAATTCATCGCTTCGGCTTCCAAAAACGAGAACTGAAATACTTAAGCGAATGTCAGGCAAGACACCGTCACGCTGTTTCGGAAACCTGTGATCGCCGAGAAACACAAAATCCGTGTCAATGGAAGGTTGAGTGCATCGTTCCTTTCGCTCCCCTTCTCTCACAAGACGCTGACACCTAATAATCCTTGCACTTGGTGTGGCACGTTGTGAAAATGACCCAAAGGAGCTTCACAGGATTTACTGATTGTGTGCGTTCTGTAGGCAAACGCAACAGTCAATTCGCACACAGTAAATGTCCCGCAAACAGCCATGAAATGAATGCCCAAGTTTATCTCAAAGATTGTTGGCCTAGACACTGGGCGAAATTCCCTTCTCTTTTCGAAGAGTGCCATGGGATCTTTAACGTCCACCCTTACAGGCAGACGGGACCTCAGTTTAATGTCTAATCCGAAGGATGGCACCTCTGATGATCCCAGCACCACCCCAGTATTGTATTGGAGTGCCAGCTATGTGAGCTGATGTGGGGCTTGAACCCACAACCGTCTGACTGAGAGGCGAGAGAGGCTGAGCCTGGCTGAAACAATGACTGACATCTAAAGGGTAAGAGACACAGGGGGAAATGATTGGAAATGCAATTAAAAAGATAAATATCAACCATGAAATCATAAAAGAGCAGAACAGGTTCAACGGCTGAGTCACTTGCTCCGGTTCTTGCAACATTCTGATCAAAACCCTACCCCTTGTTTCTATTTCCAATGCACTTTGCTTACGTATCAAAAGTGAACAGCGCTGACATTATCAGAGTAACCAGCTGAGAGGAGGTATTGAAGCAAACAGAACAAGGAGCCCAATTAACATGGGCTGACACTGCCATTAACCTGGGCTGCATCAGCGATCTTGTCACTTCAATAGACTTTATGCTAATTCTGCCTTCCTCGTGTTGTCAGTGAACTCATCTGAACTAGTTTCCCTCCCCAAACAAATAAATATCGGTGCTAATAATATTGCTCGTCTGCTAAAATGTCTCAAGAGCACTTTGTCAACGACTTTGGAAAGCGTAGTGACTTTGTACTTGTCGGCACGCCGCAAGGTGCCACACACATCCATGTCATTTATTCGTGGTGGTGGGGTGGGGAGGGGAGGTTATTGTTGGCCAGGACACCGGGAGAAACTCCCTTTTCTTTCAAAGAGTACCAAGGGGTCTTTAACGTCCGCCTGAAGAAGCAGTAGGGACCTTAGTTTAAAGTCTCATCCCACGAAGTGTTCCACCCAGCATTGCACTGGAACATGAGAACAACAAAAATTTGCATTGATATAGATTAATGAGCTCTGGGTAAGCTATTCAGCCGCTTGAGCCTGAGGTATAGATCAATCATTCTATTAGATCATGGTTGATCCGGACCTCAACTCCAACTCCATATCCCTTGATACCTTTACCTAACAAAGATCTATCGACCTAAGCCTTGAAAATTTCAGCCGAGTGTCAGTCGAGACAGTACTAATTGTTTCAATACAAATGCTCCCCAAATGAGCAAATGCAGTGTGGCACGGTGTGCGGTGTATTTGTGCGTGTGGTTTTTTTTGGGGGGGGAGGGTGGGGTGTGGGGGCAGGGATAAGAACACACATTAGCACATTAGATTGTTTGGAACCTTAATCCCAGGTCACCGGCAGAGGCTTAGAATCACCCCTCTGGGGCCCGAAAATTGTTCGAACCTGTTGCGTTTTTGTCGGTGAAAGGGTTACGTCCGCACCCATTCTAAGGCCAGCACTGGATCAAGCGGAGAACAGAGCTCCCCCGGGACTAAAGGAAGTGGCTGTTAATACTGTGTGACCCAAACTTCCCTTGGATTTAACCCACTCCGCATGAATGAAAGTAATGAAAGCCAGCGAGTGAACGAGCGAGGGCTCGGGAACCCATCCCCAGGATCCTGTTAGCAGACACCTGACTGCCAGTTGCCGACTGGTTTTAATCCATTGAAAACCAACCACCCTTAGAGCTCTGCCTTCCTGGGTATCCTCAGAGCAGAACTGCCGCTCGATAGATTCAACCTCCGCAGTCAAACGTTTAAAGGAAAAGAGATTGGGGCGTGAAGCTCAAATCGCAGCATTATAATTCTGCCTCGAATTCTAATAGTCGGAATCACGACAACAATAATCCCTGTGTTTGATGTAGTGTTTGATATCACCGCATTGAGACGTCTCAAAGCGCTTCACAGAATGTACATTGTAAAAGCCAGTTGACTGTGTATTTTGGGGGCGAAACTCGGCAGCCAATTGTGCACAGATTTTTAACACGAATGTTAAAAAAACAGACAGTTCCTCCCCCAAAATGCCACTTATCCACACAGACCCAGATATTCCCGAGCTCAGGTCTCTTGTCTGGACTCCTTAAATCAATTTAAGACAATAACCAAAGGAGCCAAGGGAGAGTTTTTTGTTTACGCAGCGAGTTGTTAAGAGGTTTTGCTGTGAAAAAATGGTCAGGGCACCAACCAAAATAGTTTTCAAGATGGAATTAGATAAGATATCTAAAGAGAAGTCACTTGAAAGGGTAGAGTAATACTAACAATAATCCTTGCATTTTACATAGATTTCTTATCACATTGTCAAGATATCTCTAGGCACTTCGCAAGCCCACAATGGGTTCAGATTGTAGAAAAACTAAGGATATAAAACAATGTAAACATGGCGGTTTGAGGAGGAGGAATGATCTATAAATACTATTAATATACTACAAGATACACAGTCAATCCACTTTACTGTATATGTCCTGTGAAGTGCTTTGAGATGTCTCAATGACTTAATAAGGCGCTATATCAAAAGCTACGGATTATTATTATTATTATTATAGTAATCCTTGCATTTGATCTAATGCCTTTCATGTGGGGTGCATAATAATAATAATCCTTGCATTTGATATAGCGCCTTATCACGTCTTCTAGACAACTCGAAACTCTTCACAGGATATGCTGCACTGCAAAGTGAATTGACTGCATACTTTGTGGGCGAAACGCGGCAGCCAATTGCCCGCGGCAGCGTGATCAAGTTATTTATTTATTTAAACATATATTTTTTGAAGGGAATATTACTTCCCCGGAAAAGTGATCCGCAATCGACTGACAACCAGGTCCCCACTTACTGCTGGGCAGACAGAGGCGTGCGGAGTGAGGAAACTTGCCCAACGTTTTGCCCTTCCCGGGAATCGAAGCCAGCTCCTCTCGCTTGGCGAGGCGAGTGCTCTCACCAATGCCCTTACAGGACTCCATTGAAACACTACAATTTAACGGTAATTAAAATTACAGGATGCCTTAAAACACTTCACTGGGTGGGTGGGGGAGTGGGGGGGGGGGGGGGGGGGAGCGGTGTGGGGGCTATTGGCCAATTAGATTTCAACAGGTGCTCAAAGCCACTAAGGCAGAACGCCAGGGCAACTCTGATCCACTGAAAAACACAAATGATGGCTTAAATAGTACGCGATCGTAAAGGCAGACTCGGGCACTTCCTTCCTTCCCCCCCCCTCTCAGAGTCCAGGCTGCGGAAGCTGAGAGTAATTTAACAACAACTTGCATTCCCCCCTCCGCCCCCCCCCGACGCAGGGCAGAGCCCCAGAGCGTTTCATCAAATACCCTGAAACTTTATGCCATTGACATCTCTTCAGTAATGTTAAAGGCTTCACTCAGTAAAAGGGGGGAGGGGGGGGGGGGGTTCTTTGTGATTTGTTGTTGCAAGCGAAATTATAACAGTAATAATAATAATACTACTACTGATAATAATACTTGTGTTTGGTTTAGCGCCTCATCATGGCGTCGAGACGTCTCAAAGCGCTTTGCGGAATAATCGTAAAAGCGGAAACCAAACCCACGGTCTAATTAATGAACGAGTTGCAATGAATAACCAACGGATGAATTAGTGTCGTCACGTGGATAGCGGAGCAGTGATAATAATAATAATAATAATAATAATAATATTCCTTGCATTTGATGTAGCGCCTTATCGCGTCTTCGAGGCGTCTTCGCAGAACATCCCGTCAAGTGAATTGACCGGATATTTCGTGGGCGAAACAGCCTGCTTCGGGGCCCTCTGTCTCACCGGCTGGTTTTACCTGTTAATTTTGTCCGTGCAGGACATGGTGAGCAGTTGGGCCCCCTGTAAAACTCCATCCCATGTCTGGACACCATTGCGGGAGCGGATTGGAATCGTTCCTTCCCCGGATTCGATCTTGGTCCTCAGATGCCCGCGCGGTTTCCTGTTCACTGGCTTGCCGTCGTGCACTGTTCAAGAAGACAAAAAAAAAAACTGCCTGTTCTTTCAATCCACCTTTGCGCGGCGGGCGGTGGGTGTGGGGGGGGGGGGCGGCGGGAAACCCGACATTTTGTCCCGAAGACCATTACAACCGCGACGCGAAAGGCCGGGAAAGGATCTAACGCGCAGAACGAGAAGTTGACGGGTCAACCCACTTAATTCTCGGAGGTCGCTGCTTCACACACGACAACGACAACAACTTGCAATTATATCGCGCCTTTCGGGTGGGGGGGGTGACGTCCTACCGGGCTTGACGGTGGCGGAGTCTGACCTGACCCCCGAGCGCCAGTGGGGGGAGAGGGAGCACCATCAACGAGGAAGGTCTTTAGGCGGGATTTAAAAGTGGGGGAGGGAAAGGGCGGGTGGGGTGGAGGGGTGGGGGGTGCGAGGCGATCCCTATCCCTTTCAAACATCCCAAAAGGAGTCGGCATCACTTACGCTCAGCTCTTGCCTCGCGGTGAGAGTTCAGGCGGGCGTCCCCGCACGGAGGTGTGTTGACGTACAGGTGGAAAACGATGTTCTCTTTCAGCCTGTAGCCCCCGTCCTTGCGACGAGCGAAGACCGATCGCTCCCAGTCTTCCGGCCTTTTACTGCGGAAAGAGCAGCGGATTCAAATCCATTAATTTAATGTAATCCCTATTAGCAAACTTGCCCCCGGCTCTCAGCGAGCGGGATTCCTCTAAATTGTGTCTCTTGCTGCTCGTCTTGCTAATCTTTGCGGAGTTTGAAAATGATATCATTGCGCCCTCAATGTGTGTGTGTGTGTCTCTCTCTCTCTCTCTCTCTCTCTCTCTCGGAGGCGGTTGGAAAAGCATTTATCTGCGGAACAGTGTCTATAAAAAGCAGATGGTTCGTTTTTATCCTGCGGAAGTTTAACCCTCTAAATGAGAGCAATCTTTAATCGATCGGAATAAAGTGTCTCCTCTGGATGGCATTAAAACCGGCACATTAGCCATATGCTAAACTCTTGGGATTTTATGCTGCATCGGATATTGTGGTTTGCCCACGTTTCACTTATCGGGCTATTTTCTTGTATTCTCCTCAATTTATTTAGGTAAAAAGGGATTCGCCAGCAATGCAAAGGCAAATCTCTGGAACTCCCTCCCTCCCTCCCTCCCTCCCATTCCATTATCAAAGGCCCGTCTCAAAACTTATCTCTTTGACCTTTTGGAAGGTCGTCTTTCCTCTCCCCCCCACCCCCCACTCCCCACTTCCCCCCTCCCCCCCCCCCCCAACCAACATCACTCTGCTCCCAAGCCCAGTGCCGAGGTGGCCTTGTCAAGTGATTCGAGATGTCCTCCCGCCGTGAAAGGCGATAAGTAAATGTAAATCGTATTGCATTCAATCAGACGCCCTATTGCTCTCTGTACAGAGAATTGAATAGTTGCTGAACGTAACGCAGGACATTCCAATTTACTGATGATAATTCCAAGTTACTGATGATCTCGTAAAGTCTACCCACTTGAACTTCCTACAGCGGTTTTAGGGTGAAATGACAAGCTGGGCGGGGGGACCTGGGTTACCTTTTCCAGCACTTTGGGGAAAGAGATGAAAATTACTCGGGAGTAACATACATTTATTTCCTACGTCCTCATTCACCGCCCTTTTCTTTTCTGTCTCCTTGCTGCTTGCTGCGCGTGTGGTCTCCTACAAACCCTTCCCCACTTCCACTCTCCGCTCACCAGCTCCCTGTCTATGGGTAGAAAGTTAGCTTCGGGATATGTCACTCGTAAGACGATGACTAACTTTTCCAGCATGTCCCTGTGGTCTCCTTGTTACTGAGTTGGCTCAGAGATGAGATGGTTGGCAATTGAATGCTGGAATCGATCTCGGTAGTCCGGTTCCTGAGCCAAGCGAGTCTGCAGTGCTCCAAGGCACTGCTGATGATTAATCAATCAGCCTGGTTCATCAGCAGGATTCGGAAGGCCATGCAAGTCACTGGGAACAAGTACTCTTCCTTCTCAGCTTCTGTTAACCCTACAAGCCAAAGCCCTAATGGTCCTCGCTGGTTAAGCTATGCAGGTTTAGCTGATTAAACTTCAGCGGTTATCCCACGCACATTCTGGGTTCCTCAGGTCTTGGCTCTCACCAACCTGCCTCTGATAATCCCTGAATTCATGTAAGCGGAGCGCGTCCCTCCAGAAAGAGCGTTCACATTCCGTTCCAGACACGGGGAAGTTTCCACGTGTGAGGCAGGGCATACAACATGTGGAACTCTCAGCTTGGTCTGGATACCCCTTAAGCATCGCAATGAGTTTCCGCACGCATCAGACACCCGGCTGACCAACAGTAAAGATTTAATTAAGGGTACGTGCGGTTTACACAGCACCTTAGGACCTCCTACTGACACGAAAGCAGCTGCACACTTGAGTTCAGAAGGGTTGAGGGGTGATCTTGATTGAGGTTTTTAATATAATAAAGGGATTCGATAAGGTAGCTACAGAGAATGTAATTTGTTGGTGTCGTTGCTGTCGTACACATGGTGCAAGATGTTGCACAAGCACATTGATACTCCATATACATATATAAGCGGCAATTATAGTAATAATAATAATAATAGGAATAATAATCATCCTTGCGTTTGATACCCACCACACAAGGGTCGAAACGTTTCAAAACGCTTTGCAGGATTTACTCAATGCACAACATCCAAACCTTTGCAACCCTCCCGGAGAGCAGCGTTAGCTTTCGCTTCTGTCGAAGTTCCTTTGTGCAAAAAAAAAAATATATAAAAACTTCTCTGACGCTGCGGGAACAGAAATCCGCGGGGAGGAAGGGACTGTTCTAATTTGATCGAAAGGCTTGGAAAAATATCACACCTGTCACTCAGTTGTTATTCTCAATATGATCTTGCCGTTTCTTTTCTGCAAGGATAGCGCTCAATTAAAATAGGAGCCTGGGTAGATTTCCACACTTTCCGCCAATGCTAGGAATTGGAATAGCTCTAGCTTATTTATTTAAGCTTATTTCTTAAATGACACATCCAGCCGAGTGGCAAAATGAATGACTCTGTTGACTATCAAAGAGGTTGAAAATAAGTTGCCCGCCAGACTTTATTGTCATCCCGACACTGTTTCAAAAGTACTGTGGCCCTCTTCTGCATCTCGGTTGGTGACGGTGAGGCAAGACTTTTCTTTTGTAAGGAGTCCTGTAGTGCAGTGCTTAGCGCGTTCGCTTTGCAAGCAAGAGGACCCGGGTTCGATTCCCGGGTGGAGCAAAACCTTTGACAGGTTTCCTCAGTCCACACACCTCTGTTTACTTGGCAGTAAGTAGGAGACCAAGCACAGTAGTTGTCAGTCAATTGGTGGATCACTTTCTGGGGGGTAATAATCCTTCTAAAAAAAAACCCCACAAAAGAACAAAGCAAAAATGTGGTCACTCGATCTCCACGACTGTTTGTGGCACACGGCTGTGCGCAAGTGGCTGCCGCGTTTCGCCCACAAATTGCAGTCAATCCACTTTCCACTCTCTCCTCGGTAGGGGGGGGGCGCGGGTAGGATGGGGTAGAGGGGATGGGGGAGAGGGGCTTGTGGAGGAATGCGTCCTGATTGAGACGTCCTGACGTAAAAGGCGCTCTGTCAAATGCAAGGATTGTTATCACGTTACAAAGAAATCTGGCAGAGACTTAGGTTCCTATGGCCACTCTCTTACCAGACCATGAGATTTGCATTTGTGACCGTCTCTGACGTCCTGTTGATTTGAATAGCAAAATCTGGCCACGGTAAATGTGATTTACTCCGAGCTGAACTCAGCAGTAGGTAAAATCCATGGAACAGAAGGGCAAAGAAACCCTATGCATTCCAAATGACTCAGTCAAAAAATTGTTACTTACGGGCTAACACACTGAGGATCTTTTGAAGTGCGACGCCTTTCACCCTTCCTCTTTCCCTCTGTTTCTGTAGCCGCTGATGGAACCGCATAGAACTCTACAGCGCGGAAACAAGCCATTTAACCCAATAGGGTTCACGCCCGTGTGTATATTCCACATGAGTCTCCACCCGACCGTCTCCCCCTCTCCTGTATCTCCCTTCTCCCTCTGCTCAGCCTGCTTCACGTTCCACCCCCACCCCCTGCCCCAGCCTCACCCGCCCCACCATTGGCGGGCGAGCCTTCAACCACTCTGCCCCCCTTACCCTATGGAACTCCATCCCGCATTCCCTCCGCCTCGCTCCCTTCCCTCGCCTCCTTCAAAACCTGTCTCGTGACCCTCCTCTTTGACCCTTGCCTTTGATCACCCTCCTTCCCCATTCTTGCCCTCTACTCTCCCCGATCCCGCATCCACCCCCCACCCCCCCAACCAGCTCGGGTCCGAAACATTGACTGTCCAGAGCCTTGGGACGTCCTCCCGACGTGAAAGGCGCTATACACATGTCACTTGTTGCTGTTGTTGATGTTGTTGTTCTCTTCCAAGTTGTGCATCAAATTTCCTCTTAAATACGTTGATGACTTCTGCTTCAACCACAGCTCCCGGCTGCGGGTTCCACGTCCTTGAGAGATTTAAGGTTTGCGTTTCTAACAGTGCCTTTGAACCCCACGACCGTTTGTGGGATCGTGTCTGCTACGTTTCACCCACAAAATACACAGTCGCTTTACGGTATATCCGGTGAAAAGCGCTTTGAGACGTCTCAATGGCACAATACGGTGCTATATCAAATACACGGATTATTATTATTACTTTTAAACCTTCCCATCGCCTCCCTACTCCCAGCGTGGAGAGTTAGGCCCATTTTGGGAATTGTAATTAACCCTCTTGCTTAAAACCCAGAATCTACCTGAAGTGAAGCTTGCGTCATCTCCTCGGGGGTGGAATAGCAGAAGACTTCTGTTTGCTTTACAAGATTAACTAATCAATTGTGCCTGTGGAGGCAGGTGAACATGTCAGCTGTTTGGTTATTATTATGTCTCTGTAATTAGAAAATAAATGAGGGTAGATTCACATTTATTTTGTTTTGCTGATGATAATAATAATAATCCTTCCATTTGATATAGTGGCTTATCACGTCTTAGAGACATCTCAAAGCGCTTCACAGGATATACTGTAAAGTGAATTGACTGTATATTTTGTGGGCAAAATGCGGCAGCCAATTGCACACAGCAGAGTCCCCACAAACAGCCGTGGATTGAAGTGACCAATTTATTATTGTTTTCTTTTCTTGAGGGATTATTATCAGGTTTGTGGAACAAGGAAACTTGTCCAACGTTTCGCCCTGCCCGGGAATCGAACCCAGGTCTCTCGCTTGCGAGGCGAGCGCTCTAACCACTGAGCTACAGGACCATACGGACATGATAGTCGTCTTGACTATTCACCTCCACCTACGCTGCAACAGGTTTCTGAAAGTAAACGATTCCTGGCTCAGTTGGTAGCCGTCTTGGCTTTGAACTCACACAGTCTAAGCTGACACTGCAGTGTAGCGCTGGGGGGGAACGCTGCATTGTCAGAGGTACCGTCCTTTGGATGAAATGTTAGACCGAGACCTCATCTGCCTGTTCAGGCGATGTTAAAAGGGTTCCTCCTGTTGTCCTGGATACATATGATCATTCACGTCACGGCTGTTTGTGGAACATTGCTGCGTGCAACTCGCCTACAAAT